AATAGGTTCTGACAGACCAATTGCTTACGCTTCACGCACTTTAAACGAGAGCGAAATAAATTATTCAACCACCGAAAAAGAACTTTTGGCTATTGTATGGGCTGTCAAATATTTCAGGCCCTACCTTTTCGGGCGTAAATTCAAGGTAGTCACAGACCATAAACCTTTGCAGTGGCTCATGAATCTGAAAGAGCCAAGCTCTCGACTTACACGTTGGAAATTAAAACTAGCAGAATACAATTTTGAAACAATTTATAAGGCAGGAAAATTCAATACGAATGCAGATGCATTGTCGCGAATTGAAATTAACAACCAAGACTTGTCTTCAATAGTAGTTAACATTTCTGATTCTGAATCGACAGTGACAGCCCCGGACGACAGACCAATTATCAGCGCGTCCTCAACCGACACCGCGCCTAGCCAACGAGCTCTAAGTAGTCCCGTCCCTGTCCTTAACCCCACCGACCCATATGAACACGTGACAGAAACAGCACACACATCAGTAGAAGATCCTATACTTAACATACCCATAACAGAAGACCCATTGAACAAATTCAAACGACAACTTATAATAAAGCTAACTAACAGCCCCGTCAAACCCAACCCTAAAATTACTCATCCCTTTCAAACATTTCGAAGAACGGAGGTAGAAATTTCTGAAAATAACATGGAACAAGAAATTATCTCAATTGTGAAAAAATATGTTGACCCAAAATTACGTACTGCAATACTCATACACCCCATTAACAAAATGTACTCTGTTGTACCTGTCCTCCAAAGAACTTTTCAAAGCCCCGCTATGAATGTCCTGCTGTGTAAAAATGAAATTCAGAACGTAACAGACTCTCTCATACAACAAGATATAATTTCTAAGTACCATACCGGAAAAACTAATCACAGAGGTATTAATGAAACATTTTTATCTCTGTCACAGATATATTTTTGGCCCAAATTAAAGGAAAGCATAACCTATTTTATCAATGAATGTTCCATATGTAATCGTGCTAAATACGATCGTGCCCCATTACGTCCTCAATTTCAAATAGTTTCCCCGCCTATGAGGCCGTTCGAGTTAGCACATGCAGATGTACTAACAATAGAATTAGAAAAATACCTAACAATAATTGACTCATTCTCCAAATACGCGCAGGCATATCGCCTCCCAGATTGCACAGCTCCGAACATAGTAAAAGCCCTCCTGTCTTTTTCTACACACCACGGATTTCCACTTTCTCTCACCACAGACAACGGCACCGAATTTACAAATCAAGTAGTTTCAGAATTCTTTAAAATCCATAAAATTCAACATCATACTACTGCTGCTGATGCACCACACGAAAATGGCATAATTGAACGATTTCATAGCACCTTGCTAGAGCATTTGAGATTACTAAAACTACAACATCCAAACGAGTCTGCCCAAAATTTAATTCCCTACCCATTGATTGCGTATAACAGTTCTATTCACAGTTTAACTAAATGTAGGCCTTTCGACCTTATATTAGGGCATATCGGCCCTAGACACCCAATTGATGTAGAATTAACAGAATCCGTATTACAGCAATATACACAAGACCACCGTGATCGGATGAGCACAATATATCAAATTATACATAAGTCATCTTTGGCCCAACGCGAAGCTATTATGTTACGTCGTAACCTTGACCGTGAACCCATCACTGATTACGAGCCCGGTCAACAAATATATGTTAGAAACCCTACAGCGCAAAGAAAAAAATTAGCTACACGGTTCACACAAGATAAAGTTACCGCTAACTATCCCATCCACGTCTACACAGCCAAAAAATCGAAACCTATAGCTAGGGCCCGCATAAAAAGGACTAAAAAGATCAAACCGACATTGTTGCAGAGAACTGATTCTCGTCATGACCCTGAGCCTGGACCCAGTACCAGCCGACCAACTGATGGGGAACATCATCCGACTTGATGACTTATCGAACGGACCTGGGTTACTACCCTTTAACCTAGGCAAAACTAAAATTATATCCCACGAGCATTCCTTCTTACAAGAAATACACATCAATAAAATCCAAGACCAAGTTAGCTCCCTTGAAATCCAGTTAACTGACTCTATCAACCACGTGTCTAGGAAAAACAATTTCATCTTCAAATTTCAGTTCATACACCTCTTGAGTAAATTAAACCGAATAAAATCACGCCTAGAATCATTTGAACCCAAAAGACTGAAACGTGGTCTAATCAATCCCTTGGGTACAGTCATTAAAAGTATAACAGGTAACCTTGATGAAAATGACGCTCTAAGATTCGAAAATGCTATCAAAATAATGCAAAAGAATGATCAAACACTATCAGCGGCTTTAAACAAACACATCACTTTATTTCAGGATATGACTATTCAACATACTCAAACTCTGAATAATATAAGCCATAATCAACAAAAGCTTACGGAAGCTGTTTCTTATCTTATAAATTCCTCGAAGGAAGAGCATGTAATACAGTATATTAAGACAATGCAACTTTTTAACGCAATTTCTGAAAATATTCAGGAACTTTCTTTAGAAATAGATAGATTAGAAAATATTTTAGCATTTAGTCGTACTCAATCTATGCACCGTTCAATACTATCAATTAAGCAATTAAACAATATAGTAAGCAAATTGAGCACTTTATATAATTCGAATCAATTTCTTAACTTAGATACTAGATATTACTATGATATGATTAGCTTAGGTTCCTACTTCGTTGATAACAAAATAGTGATCGTCTTAAAATTCCCTATTTTATCTTCAACCTCTTATAACCTTTACCGACTTTGCCCGGTCCCTAATAAAAAATCCCATGTAATTCTGCCTCCATTCCCGTTCATAGCAACCAACTCCAAGGAATTCGTGTACATAGAGGCAGAATGCCCGAAGGTGGACACTTGGAACGTTTGCGAGCAAAAGATCACTCATCAGAAACGCACACATCGAGACTGCATCTATCACCTCATATATCAGCGCGAAACAGACAATCTATGCCACCCAACATTGGTAACTTTCTTCAAAGATGCATTACTGGAACTCGACAGTCAACATTACATCATATCATTTCCGGAAGCTACAAAAGTTCAGATGTTCTGCGAACATGAAGAATATCGCTCACTGAGCGGCAGCTATTTTGCAACGGTACCCAGAGATTGCAAAATTACAACAAAAGATTTCACAATCATTAACGCTGACGACAAAATTCGCGGTAACGCCGTCGAGCTGATGTCAATCCCAACAATCACACCACTTAACAAGAATTTGCCACACTTCAATTTCACAACAATCAATTTGGATAAATTACACAATATTCAACACCAAGTTCTCATGGAAACCCCTATAAAAATTGACAGCGTTCATCCTTCAAATATATATCATACAACAATACCGTTGTACTTCGCTCTATTAAGTGCAGCTGTACTTAGTATTTTATACATACTGCGACACCGCCGCCGCCGACAGCTACAAATCAAACAAACAACCCCTCAATCGTCGATGCCTCAAACCAATATAAGGACTACGGAGGTCCCCACATCATTGGAAGCTGAAAGAACATCTATGCAAGATCGTCAAGCCGCAATATTTGCTCTCAACCTTTGCAAATAGTTGCTTGTCTAGGAGGGGAGGTGTTACCCATGGCGTTACTTCATGACGACGTTGCATACCAATAGTGATTGCGAAAGACAAATGAATCATTAGTTAAATTCCCAAAAGTGCAGTGTGGAAATCAAGATGTATGAATGTAAAATTTTAGAGTTCACTCTCGCTCAATCGCGGTAGCGAAGCAGTCATATCATAATTTATTTTAAGGCAAACCTATTGTAACGTTTTTATTAATTAAATATCATAAAGGACAAAATCGCCTTTTTAAAAACCTCCTTCCGACGGCTAGTTCCGTAATTTTTAGCTCTTTGTTTATTATTTTTTCATCGAAACACTGTTGTTATCTCACTTTCATGTTTTTATAGTTATTATTTCGATTTTTGTAACACAACACTGCCACACATTATTTGTTACAAGTTATTAACTTTTATCGAATGTAATTTAAAGATCGTTATTGTTCACAATTTGCATAAAGCCCGGAGCTGTTGTTTACATGCACAGCGCCCTCTCGCGGAGTTCACACATAGGCCACACACGCCCACACACGGACACACAGGCGCACACACGGACACAGGCGCACACGGACTTACAGGCGCGCACACGGACACACAGCGCGCACAGACACACAGGCGCGCTCACAGACACACACGCGAGAGATTGATAAATTAAATGTAGTACGGTATGGATATAGAAGCGCGGAGTCTCCTAACACAGGCATTACTATGTTTAAAACAACATTATTGTAAATCTAAATTAAGAAAGAAATAAATTATCATTATTATTTTAATTTTATCAATATATTCTGTGTTTATTTTTTAGTAACAAATTTTAATGCAATTTGGTTTGTATTACAATTATCCTCAGTTCGCTGCAATTTTATTTGTTTTTTAATTCCTCTTTTTAAATCTATCTGAGTACTGCCGTCACCTCAGACGGCTCTCTCCGACAGCACTCAGCCGCCTTAAATTCAGTGGAGCGAAAACAAAAAGACATAATGGCAATGATTTTTGTGCAGACGTGTACCCCCATCAATAATACATTCCAAATAATACAATGTAGGAAGTGTTAGTTAACTTTATTGTAGCACTTAAATACAATAAAATTATTGTACAGAATTTACTTTATAACTTTGACGCGAGACTGTACAGACCCATTAGGATTGGGATGTCGGTACATGAACACGTATTTCCATTAAACCATTGGTTTTCGAGCTAAGCAAGGCCAAATTTCCTATTCATGAGGCTTATATCCTGTGATTTTGTTCTAACAGGCTGATATGGCAGGGTTAATACGTAAAATAGCAACTTTAGGTCCTAAATGTCGTATTTATATTCTTAAGTCAATTTGACAGACACAAGTGGAAAACAAAGGGTTGATTGTGGATGGCAGGAGCCGTTGATACTGCAGGAGAACACGTTGCGGCTGACAGCCCTGGCGCTGGCTGCGGGCATACAACCCGAGAGCAGCATACTGTTCGCGCAGTCAGCCGTGCCGCGGCATACTGAGTTGTGTTGGCTGCTCGCCTGCCTGTGCTCACAGGCCAGGTTGCACCACCTGCCGCAGTATCGAGAGAAGGCAGGCACGCGCGGCGCCGACGTGCCGCTGGGGCTGCTATTGTACCCCGTGCTGCAGGCAGCCGACGTGTTGGTGCATCGCGCCACGCACGTGCCTGTGGGCGCCGATCAGTTACAGCACCTACAACTAGCTGCGCTGCTGGCGCGCACCTTTCACCATCGCTACGGCCGCGCCTTCCCCATACCGCGCGCTGTACTACCTGGTGCGTCGCACGTACCCGCAGTGCTAAGGTGACCGGTCCATGTACAAGTACTCTAACGCTTTTTGTATCGCAGACGATGGCAGTGATCGTATCCGGAGTTTGCGGGACCCTCTGAAGAAGATGTCCAAGTCGGATCGGGACGGCAAAGCTACCATTCTGCTCACCGACTCCGACGATGACATTCGCATAAAGATTCGCAAGGCTGTAACGGATTTCACACCACAGGTGCGTCGTTTTCTACTAATGACATAGTTCACTAGCTAACTGGAAAGAAAAAATAATACGTTGCAGCATGAATGTGGGTTCGAGTCTCACCCCACCGGGTCGACGAAAGATATTTGTATTCTTAATTACAGAAAAAAAAAACTTTTTTAAATAATATTTTAGTGAAGAATAGACGGAAAAGTTTTAAGTATACAATAATTCATGAAAAGCGACCAGAACTAAATCGCAAAAGGTGTCGCATTTCATCATGATAATGCTAAACCACACACGTCTTTACAAAGCCGTCAAAAACGATCACAGTTTGGTTGGGGTGTTTTACTTCATCACAGTAGGTATTTGCCCAACATAGGTCCTTCAAATTTTCATTTGTTTCGAGTTTTACAAAATTCTTTGAATGACAGGACACAGACATATCTAGATAGACATCGCAAGTACAGCAATTTCTATGACAACCAAGCATGCCACATCGTTTACCCACAGCTAAGGTGCTTTTGCAGTTTATAATGCCAGAATTAGGCAATTTCGCGTTGTCAACTAGTGTTTATCTGCGATAACGATCGAGCGCGCTCTAAAGCGTAGCAGCGGCAACTAAGTGTCTGTAACTTACATTGGGCACGCGGAGACAGTCATATACACACGATACCTGACCCCCTCCAAGCCGACTTTATCGACCTTATGGTTCTGAGCACAAAAATATGGAGAAAATTGTTAAACAAACTAAATCTTTAACCTGTGAGCCATAAAATTTATTTTGGTATGACTCCCTGGTCGTCTCATTAGTGAATACATTTTAAGAAAGTTTTTAAGCCAATTTGATCTTTAACGTGTGGTTCTGACTTAAATACAGAACACAAATTTCAACCAATTTTAGTAACGCCGTCGTGGCCAAACGGTATAAGGATTGCTTTGCAATATTATTTACCTATATGATATATAATATTGTTTTTTTGTTTGTTTTTAACATCGGGATAGGTGTAAGGAATGTCTAAGTCTTGTATACCGTTAAGTGCGGCATGTTAAAACAAGAAAGAAAACTTTGAAAGTCACTAAAACCTTGAAAGTAATTAAAACTGAATAGACAAATAGGAACGAAACGTGAAACAATGCGTAATCACAGAAGACACGGTCGTATGCAAACTGCAAAGCGATTTCGTGATTTATTAATTTGTCCATACCCACCTTACGCTTTATTAATAATATCTACCCACCCACCTTAGGCAATTTCTGATGAACAAATATTGTGATTTGTCAACGTTAACATTAAAAAGTGAAACAATGCTGTTAAAAATATAACGTTGAAACACAACAGTGCTCGTGGAATCGAACCACGGGTATTGTAATTTGGCAGTCCGTACAACAAGCCGCTCGACCAATTTACTTGGAAGTTAAATGACGAAATTTAGTATTGGTTTTAAAGATATGTTGATCATCTTCAAGCAAGTGGAAATTGCTTTAATTTTTTCCTTGTTTAATACGTAAGATGGCTCTCAGAACCAAAAGATCGGGTTGGGCGTGTTAGATGAGAGGGTTAACATAACCCCGGCTCTGCCCCCGCGGGGCCGGGGTATCTGTAAGCAGATTCCCCCGGATGAACAAAAAAAAGGTATCTCATATATATGACAGTACGTATCTATATATATATATAATCTATATATCTAGAGATACATGCCTGTGGTACACGACTTTGATTACGAGGAAACTTTGAGTTGTGTTTATAAATAAAGACATTTTTTGAGAAAGGGGAATTCTTAAACGTCCCGAAAGATAGCAAGCGATTGTGAAGCAACATAGCCAATAAATAATTGGTCAAAGTCTGATCTTTATTTTTTTAATGTTTTTTATTTACTTTGATACCGCAAAGACTTTTAAGCCAACCTAATAATATATAAAAATCGTACGTCACCAGGTGACTTTCGATCCCGACCAGCGACCGGGCGTGGCCAACCTGGTGCGGTTGCACTGCCTGGCCACTGACAAGGTGCCGGAGGAAGTGGTCGAGGAAAGCGACGGTCTCACTACTGCCCAATACAAGGTGCGTATTGCATAGAAAAGAAATAAACAGACGCTGTCACAACATGATGTTGGACACTATAGTGGAGCGAACACTGCTAGGCGTGACGCTGTTTGCTTTTTAGTTGTTGCTGAGATTCAACAGCAGGCTTTCAATGACCCGCTGACAGCACGTTTCGGGGCATTGCCTACTCGAATTAGCACCCACGCTCCGTCACAAGTCAAAGTCAAAGTCAAAGATTATTTATTCCATAGGTAAAATAAATTTACACTTGAAATCGTCACATTTAAGCTACTGCTCGTTCACTAC